ATGTAAAGATTCTACTTTGCATATTTTATTTATATTTATTTCCATTGTATTTCTCTATTGTATATTATTCGAATAATTTCAAGAACACATTTATAGAACGGGCGTGGAAAGTATCACTGGATCGAGGTGGTACAATCCGATACGACGTTCAAACTGAATAAATAAAAATGCAAATTTTTCCTTTTACAAGCTTATAGAAATTATTTTTATTGTTTTTATTTTTTGATTAATTTATTTGATGGTCATATTGTTTAATATTTAAATTTTAATCTTTATTATTATTTCTTCATTGAATCTTAATATGAGTGATGTATGTTTTGGAAAAGTATAATATGATGTATTTTATGTCAATTTTCGTCGTTATCTTTTAATTTAAAGAGAAAATATTCTTTACAAGTAAGAAATAGACGAGGTAGCTTTCCCGGCGGAGGATTGCAAATCTCGAGATTTCTTATCGAGAAAAGGATTTTTTATTTTAACTAATATTCAATAAATAAATCACAATTTATTTATTATTCTATTTTCATAATTTTCATTGTATCAATGGTTGTTATGTTAATATTAACGATACATAAATTAAGCATATCGTATTTTCTACTCATGACGATATTATTTAGTGGTAATTCAAAGATAGGATATACTTTATAGATAAGAAATAGATGAGATAGCTTTCCCGTTGGAGGATTGCAAATCTTGAGATTTCTTACCAAGTGAAGTATTTCTATTATTTTAATTTTAACAAATATTCAATAAATAGATCATATTTTTTTTACTTCATATTCAAATTGTAATTTCCACCATTTACGACGATGTGTAAGCTACATAGTACCAATTTTGGGCGTTGTGGGGTGTTTATCCTTCCCCACACGTAACCGACTCCCGAACCTGTTTTAAATGAATCTTTGGTAACGTAGACCAAATTTTTGTCTTATAAAATTATTTTTCTTAAAATTGTTTTTAAAAGACGTTTTTAGGTATTCGACCTACCTAACCCAAAGGTCGATGGCGACTCTTTTAAATTTTATTCAAATCCGTTCAAAATCACCAATTTTTCCAAAATAAAGTCGTAATCGTTTTTAAAATAATATTTAATTGTTTTACAAAAAAAATGGTTATGACAATATTAATTAGTATGATTTATTATAAACTTAAAATCCTACTATTTTATTAAAATCTTATAATTTCATCAATGATAATATATGTCAGGTAAGTGTCAAGTCAAGTAAATGTCAGATCAGGTCAATAACAAGTCGGATCATTTACAGGTCAGGTTGAAAATAGATCGGATAATACTAGTTATTTACCAGGTCAATATCGGGTTCGAGTTCATATCAGTCGGATGCAGTTCGGGTATCATATTTTCAGTCCAATTCGGGTTTAGGTCGTTCTTAGGTAGGGTGCAGATCCACAATTTCCAGGTCCAACTCAGGTACAGGTCAACATCAGTTTCGACTCAAGTCGGTTTCGGGTCGTCACAACACATGTCAAAAATAATTTAGACTCGAGTCGGTTTCAATCGATTTTACAGGTCGGGTCAACTTTTTATACCCCTAGTTTCCGCAACCTTAAATGTTCCAGACAAAAATCTTCATGGTCATAGGGGACATAAAATAAAGAAGAGCCGAGAGACTCAAAGATCATTCCATCATGGCCGAACAGCCATGGGGTGAAGAACCAATAGCTGACACGTTCACATCCACGGGAGGTGGCAAAGGCAAAGAGGGAGATTGCACCAAAATAGAAGCAGTTGCCAAGGGGGCGTTGTTACTAGTTGTTGCAAGTTTGTTCTCTTATGGTTTACGTGCAAGTATGATGAGGGCCGAGGCAGGATCCATTACTAGCACCGAATGTTTGGACGGGTTAAGAGTATAAGATTGGCTTCTACCTTTATTAATTCGGCTGGAAGAAGCATTAAGAGAACCAGATTTTTTGGGCACGAGGATAGTGTTATTCGGACCAAGAGCGATAGGAGCAAACTTACGAGTTACAAGGGCAGTCTTGCCTTTAGCTTTGGATTTAGAAAGTGTTGTAATCGGGTTATTCTCTACTCTAATGTCGCTGGGCGGGGTGAGAGGGCCAAGAGACTAGAGGGATAGGAACTTGGCCGTTAGATTCCTTTGAAGGCTCCCGAGGAGGAGCAAGTGTATCATTAGAACTTTCAATAACAGTGTCATTCTCTAGAAAAATGGGGTTATACCTTGAGTTTGAGACATAGGTATTGCAGTCATGGTTGGCAGCAGTGTTTGGCGTTTTCACAGGTCTTTTACAGCGTTTTTCGACTAACATCCAGGGGCCAAAAGGCTCGGAAGGAACATGGTCACCTGCGGGTGGGGTGTGGGCAAATATGATTCTGAAAAAGCACTGTCTTTAGGTTGATTTTGCAGGCAATGATCACTGGTATGACCTTATATTCCATAGTTGAAGCATACGACAGAGAGAGATTCATATTCCACAAATTGCAAACGACCATTGATTAAAATCTTCCACACCAACGGTTGCTTAAGATTGATTTTGATCGCCATGCGGCCGAATCTACCCCGACAATCGTTATCTGTTTGGTAGTCAATCCAAACTACCGAACCAATCCAGGAACCAATGGCTTCAATCATCTTCTTTTGTACCGAGTGATTGGCAAGCCTGAAAGATGAACCCAGGCCATGAGGTGGCTAAGGAGAGATTGGGAAGGATCGAAATCTTCGGACTAGGGTTCCACTGAGATATAATGTCCAAATATGGTCCATTGACCATCCGTGAGAGCACCAATGTAGTCTAAACGGGAGGCAAATTTGACTAACAAAAAATCATTTTCTATTTCAATTAATTTCATGGCTTTTGTTGGTTTTCAGAGACTCATGATCCTATTATAGAGAGTAGTATAGCCTACTTTACGCCCCAATATCTTGAGAACAAGAGTAAATTCCATGCTCTTTAGGGTGAGTTCATGGACTATCGTCGAAAAATCAATAAAGGGATACCCTCTGAAACACCAACGTTGATATCCTCATCTGTGAATTCTATATCATCATCATACAAAGGGATTAAATCATTGTCAGTCTGGCAATCAAATTCGCCCGTAACCACGGTTTTATAGGAGATCAGGGGCTTCAAAACACCAGAAACAGTGAGAGAGTCGTAATCCAAGTTCGAGAAAGAAGCATTGGGAAAGGGAATGGAGCCGTCTAGGGGTTCTTCGACTCGCCGATGTTACTTCTTGGGGAGATGAGAGTCGTCAGGAATTAGGGTTTCCATGCAGGGTCGGCCCTGGGCTGGGGCAAGAGGGGTGCCCGCCCCAGGCCCATAATATTTTCATAGTGCCTATTAATTTAGAACTATTAGATTTTACCTAACTAGGGGTCCATTTCTTTTATTTCGTCCCGGGCCAAAAAATACCCAGAACTGGCTCTGTTTCCATGTTAAACGTTTTCAACTTTACCTCTATTTTAATGCGATTTTTTTTGTATCATTGTCATTTGCTCTTACTTGCCTAAAGTGGCATATACATTTGATGCTAAAACATTATACCAGTATTATTTGACTTTAGTTTAAATACATGCTTTTATAGATTTTTTATAATGAGGGGACTAAGAAAAATGTCCAGCAATCAATGACTATTTTCATACTGGATAAAGTATACAAATGATCCTTGATTATAGGGTTTTATTATGTTGAGTCTCCTGATTATTAGAACTTACAAAATGCTCCCCCAACTATAAAGTGTTATTTTATTGAGCCTCTTGACTATTATAAGTTATAAAATGATCACCTGATTATTCATATATTTCGGACTCGTCATTTTCTGTTACATTGATAGTCATCTAAGATGGGCATTAACCACTGACTCGAATATGATAAAATTATATTTTAATGATGTCTATTGGCACATTCGTTGCTTTCAAGCTTTGGCTTACCAACATAATATTACAAGCACTAGCTCAATAACATAATGTAAACGGAGAGTCAATCCACAAAATATATCTCAAACGGTTATAGGATAAGATTTTATCATATCACAATTAACATATTGACATCCAACTCAGGCGGTCATCAATATTTAAAAAAATGACGAGTTCGAAACATATAAATACTCAAGTGATCATTTTGTATTTTTTTATAGTCAGGTGACTCAATAAAGTAACACCCTATAATTGGAGACCATTTGATAACTTTTAATAGTCGGTGGACTCAACAAAGCAAAATTCTATAGTCATGTGAGCATTGTATACTTTACCATTTCATATTTCAGTCAAACAAAATGACATAATGATAAAAAATATTTCAAACATTTAACTAAATAGTCCTTTTAACTCTTATTTTTCATAGCATTTTGGCTATAAGTATTTTATTTTAGGGTAAAAAAGACCCTAACGTTTGATTAAATAGTCAATTTAATTATTTTTTAGTACTTTCCTATATGTTTTATTTTAGGGTAAAAATGTATCTATTTTATAATGTTGACCATTTGTTGATTAATGATTTTCATACTTGGAGAGACATTTTTTCACAAAATGAAATATTAGAATCAAAATACCATAAAAAAGAAATAAAATAAACTATCTAATCAAGTTTTAGAAAAAATTTTAGGGTAAATTATGCGTTTAGTACCTAAACTATCAGTTTTGATTAATTTTAGTACCTAAAATTTCATTTTTTTTAAATTATACCAAAAGTTTAGTTTTTGTTTCATTTTTGTACCTCACCGTTAAAAACTATGGTTTTTGTTTCGTTTTAGTATCACATTCAAAATTTATTGTTAAGTTTTGAAAATTTTGAAATTTTAGTATTAAAACGGACCAAAATTGATAGCTTTGGTATTAAACACATTAAGTTTTTAACGACACGATACTAAAATGAAATAAAAAATAAATATTATATATGATTTTGAAAAAAATTAAAAAATTCAATACTAAAAACACTAAAATTGATAGTTAGAGATACTAAATTTGTAATTTGCATCGTTATCGCAAATAAAACATTGCCCCAAAAAAAAACTAAAAGGGGTCGCGCGATCGCTTGCGAGTCATCTATACTGAAATATCGCGCGTCTTTCACTTTTCTCGTCAGTATATACATACAATACATAGCGAGTGAAAAATGCGTCTTCATTACTAAAGCAAATCCATGGACGACTTCTTTCCTTTATTTGCGAGCTCTGATGATGATGAAAATGTAAGTACTTCTTACCCAAATCAAAATATTTTACTTCCTAAAACCAGATCAATTCTTTTTGCTTATCTTGCATATTTACTCTGTACGGTTCCTCAAATAATCTTGAACCTACTCTTTCTTGTTATAGATCGATGCGAAAACTTAATAATCTTCATCTTTTAGGATAACCCATGTATGATTTTACAGGTGTCTTAGGGTTTGTGACTAGAAATTGAAGCTATACTTGAATTTGGTAGTATTAGTGTTCAGGCTTGAATTAAAATTATCTTCAACCTACTCTTTCTTGGTATAGATCGATGTGAGAACTTAATAATCTTCATCTTTTGGGATAACCCAGATATGATTTTCAAGATGTCTTAGGGTTTGTGGCTAGAAATTGAAGCTATACTTGAATTTGGTAGTATTGGTGTTCAGGTTTGAATTAAAATCATCTTGAACCTACACTTTTCTGTTATAGATCGATGTGAAAACTTAATCTTCATCTTTTAGGATAATCAAGATATGATTTTCAAGGTGTCTTGGGGTTGGTGGCTAGAAATTGAAGCTATACTTGAATTTGGTAGCATTGGTGTTCAGATTTGAATTAAAATTTGTTGCCTTTCTAGGATTGGGGATCCAAGCCTCGGGTGCTACACTGGGAACTTCCACAGCTCCCACGCTGGCCTCAAAGCAATGGGGTAGTCCCAAACCAGACTAGTGCAAGCACGGCCCAAGCATCTCATTCTCGAACCATTTCCAACCCGTCTCTTTCGAAAAGAAACTCATCGAGTTTATTGGAATCTGAAAGAGCTGTGAAAAAGAATAAGGATAAGGCGTATCGGGAAAGATGTAAGGTGATTGCCCTAATCCTTTTCATCTCATGAGGTCCAGTTTAATATGCCTTGGATTTATTCAATTTTTGTTCAGATTTTTTGTTTTTCATACCTAAACTAGAATGTAAACAAGGATAAATGTGAACCCATCTTAATTATGTCAGCTTGTATGAAATTTAACTTTTGATTTTCCTAATCTAAATATGCCAATAGACAGATCTAAAGAGTTGTATTCAAAGTATTGTTAAATAAAAATAGAAATTACTAAATGAATTGAATCAGACCATGAATATTCTAGTTGATTTTGTTCACTACGGTCTTTTCATTCGAAAATTTATCTATCAAGACTTTTCTGCCAATATTTATTCCTTTTTCCTTCTTGAGTAGGTCAAGAAAGAAGCATCAAAGTCTAGAGGTTAAGTGAGAGATTAAGAAGGGAGTTCTAAAAGTTGAATCTCAATGTACATTGCGATTTCATTAGTTTTTGTCAAGAATAATACATCCTTTTTCCCTTTTGTTCTTCCTACACAGAATCAGAAGGTGGAAATGCAATTTCATTTGGAGATGCTCACCAGAGAAAATGAATCTTTAAAGAAAGAGAATGTATCCTTAAAAAAGAACGATGGTTTAATGAATGAAACTTTGACAGATCAAACAAAAGAGATTGATCGCTTGAGGAGTGATCTTTTCCAGTTGAAGCACAAGAATGAAAAGCAAAATATTCTCGTGCAAACACTTTCTGAGCTTTTAGTAAGTCTCCACTCTACTCTACTTTCATTTAGGGATGTAAATGAACCGATCTTGAATGAACAAACTTTTGCTCATGTTTTTTTGTTTATTTTTAAGCCTTTTTGTGTTTGGTTCATGTTTTTTTATTCAAAATTATTCGTGTTCATATTTGTTCATTTGATGTTCGTGAATATGCTAAATGAACATGTTCATGAACAATAAGCGAACATGTTCACGAACGTTAAATGAACGTATTTATAAATATATTCATGAACATATAATTGAACATGTTCGCAAACAATTAAAAGTATGTTCATGAATAATACTTATATTATAAATAAATGAAATAAACATAAACATTTTAAATATCTTTTTATTGGGAAAAATATCAATTTTAGATAAATGAACTAATAAACAAGGTTGTTTGTGCATATAAATGAACTGAACACATCTCTTTAAACTTGTATGTTTAATAAATGAACATAAAAAATTTATTACTCTTTTGTTTATCTTAATAAACGAACATAAATGAGTAATATATGAACGGTTCACGAGTAGTTCGTCAAACGTTTTGTTCATTTACAACCATACTCTTAGTATATTTGCCAATTTTTTGTTTCCTTTTTCAATTAACGGTTAATTCTCATTAGTGGTTATAATTGTAAGAAAATTTATTATTTGACTTTTGAAGTACTATCTTAAAATACTAGCTATGTTGTTACAACTCTTCATTTTTATCAGAGTACTTATGGGCAACATTTGGAAAGAATTTAAGTATTTATACTATTCATAATGTGTCTGAATTGATGTCATGAATCAGATGATCCTCAAACATCTGAGAAACATACATTACTAGTGATATTAGAAGGATGGTTTCACTTAAATTTAGTATTTATACTATCTACAATGTGTTAGATTAAGCTGGTGCCTTGAGTCAAATGTTGTTAACTCAGCTGATAAATTTACTAATAGATCAAATGAACTTGTAAAATAGTTATTAAATTAGGACTAGAAATATTTTTTCCCTTTTTTTACAAATAAGAATCGAGTACAAACTGCTACTCTCGTAACATTTGTTGCTCCCTTGCATGTTAAGCTTAAATATTAATCTATGGTGGCTTAGGTTTTTAACATATGGTTGTTTTTATTGGAGGCTGATCCGGTGCGGCTTGAAAACGAGAAGCTAAAAGATGAAAATGCTGCATTGAGGAAGAATGTCGATCTTAACAGTAATCTAACACAGCTCGTGGAGGAAAATGCAAAACTAAGAAATGAAAATAAGGTACTCATGGTGCAGAATGATGCTTTATGTGGGAAGATTATCAGTGACAATGAGAAGAAGCAAGAGCAGATAACCCTAAGCTAAAATACTAATTCAATATTTGTTTCTTAGTACATCTCACTTCTTTGTCACCCTTTCTGCTTATCTTAGTGCCATATGTTTAGCTTTCTTGTCCTTGTTCTTGATCTATCTTCTTTTCGTAATTTCGGGTTAGATCTTCTATCAGTATTCTCCTTGATCTCCTTTCTCTTGCCCTTTTCACACTTTGATTTTCAGCCATGTATGTTCTCTTACTATCTCCCCTACCTTCCTCACTCGTCTGCACAGTTGTCTGGTATTCCTTCAGCATTAAATTCTAATATTTATTATCATGTTATAGGTTGGTTCAGGGATAGACCGGAGGGGATTGGTAGGGATGATTGCCTTCATGAAAATTCTAAATTCTCATATATTTCAAATATTTTCTTTGTATTTTTTATTGATAATCTATTTTAGTCTCTCGAAATATTATAAATTTATCCAATTATCATAAAATTATATGTCGGTTAATGTCATTTTCAAAGGTTATTGAATTTTGAGTATTTGGTCGTTCAATGTACAAGAATGTCTTAATATCAAGAAAAGCAGAGTATATCGACAAATATTACGCATGATATAATTATAAATTTTGAGTATAAATCAACAAATTAACAGGATCAAATAAAAAAGAAACGATGTTTTTTAATAGTTTAAGATGTTTATAAGATAATATATGTATAAGATTTTTTATTTTCATCGATAGTACACACATCGTGCAAATCTAATCGCTTGAATTCAACACATAGATAACAACACTTTTTTATAATCATTAAGTGTTAAAAAGACTACCTTATAATGATGTGGAAGATTTTTTTATAAACTTAATATAAAAATATTTAAAAGTAAATATTTCACATGTAAAGCATCTAGAATTGGCTTCTCAAGGGAATTTAAAAATATTCAAGAGGTAAAAAACAAAAAAGAGTGGATTAGAAATTTTTAGGTTCAATTGTCATTATAGATTACTGTTTGCAATGACTACTGATCGATGTTAAAGACTTTGATTAGATTCAAGGGTTAAATTGATATTTTATGTAAAGTTTAAAGGTCAAATTAATATTTTATACAACACTTACAAAAGCAAACACTATCGTTCAATGGTTTTTCCGGTTGCCAAAATACTATTTTTTCTCTATATTTCCTCCAAAATCTTAATTTTTTTTTAAAATTAGTGCCCATTATAAAAGTTGAATTTTCATTGATTAGATCGATTGTCAAACAATTTTAATAGTGAGAAGGCTCCGTTTGACTAGAAGACTAATATAGTTTGATTTCAAGTTGAACTACCAGTTAACAATGTTAGATGGAAAAATTTTAGCTTTTAGCTTTTATTGTATCATTGCCTTCTTTCATTATCATTTCTTTCACCGTTTGATGATCTTTCCCGTCTAAAAGATCACTAAACTATTATTCTTATTCTTCTCTTTCTTTTTCTATGGTTCAAAATCACCTAGAAACCTTTCTATATCCTTAAGTTTCAAGTATATTCTAATCAAAACTAAAATTTAAAACCTTTTTTAATCTATTATTGTCAAATGTTAAATCAACTTAAAACCAAAAGTATGATAATTTTATGACCAAATAGATCATTCTTATATTGATCGACAACCGTTTCGTCTATTAAATAATTGACCTTGACGATTGCAAAAAATATTTTAATATATCACATTAGTATTTTTTAACGTTAACAGACAACATTGACCATAATAAAAGTGAATTAAAAGTTTAGTAACTATAATACAAGCGGGGGTTAATCCGAAATCGAAAGATTTTGATTTGATTAGATTTGATAGGGTTAGTTTTTTTTAAATTAGGGTTCGAGTTCATGTTAGGTCAGGTTCAGGTGGAGGTTAAACAACTTCGACCCGATCAAATTCGAAATAATAATTTAATTTATTTTAAAAAATTATCTTTTAATTAAGTCCTTATTTTATATCAGATCGGTCGGGTGTAATTTATACTTAAAAATCCAAGTCATATCATGTCAGAATCGAGTGAAAGATATATATTTTTCAAGTTGGATCAAATCAAATGAAAGATACATATTTTTAGGTCAGATCAGATTCGGGTGAAAGATAAATATTTTTTAGATCAGGTCAGATTAATAAAAAAAAAAAAAAAATCAACCTGACCGGATCCGTTGCAATCGTTAAATGCAAGTTTAACAGTTTTATTTCGCGGAAGAAAATTGACAGTCCACTTTTGTTTTCATTCTCTTGCATTTTTACTCTCTTGAACCGTACAAGGGAATCGAGACAGCGGTTATTTCTGAACTCCAAGCTGAAGCTCAAGGGAATACAGATCTAAATCTTCAAGGCTTCTCTGTATAGAAAGAAGAAGCTGAAGCTAAGAGGCAGGCAGATATGAAATGGGAGGCTACGCGCTAGGCTCGGCGTTTGATTCGAAATCAGGGCAGATGATAACGGTGGCATTGCTTTTGATGTTTGGATCTTTCTTCGTCGGCAATCTTCTCGGAAACAATGCTCCCATTTACGTCTCTCAAGTTTCTGAATCTTCTTCATCACCCGCATCTTCGTCTTCGTCTTCACCTGGCACCTTTCGATCTTTACTATTAAGTAACCGTTCTGTCGAAAACGGTTCGTACCCACTTCCGATTCAATGCATCTTACGAAGCAATTGCTTTTGATTTTGTTTATTTTTGTGCCATTTGGTGTGGGTTTCTTTTTCTCTTATTGCTAGCTTAAACTGAAAGGAAGCATGCTGTTTTTTTATTTTATTAAATGATACACTGGATGGCCGATATAGAAAAAGTTGTAAAAATTCTAAAATACAACTTGTTAATGTAAGCCTAAAAAACGGTAGAAATCGGGGCGACCGTAAATGTTATCAAAAGTGTAATATTTTCGGTTGCCAGTCGAAAATGTTATGAACATCGTAAGTTGCAACCGAAAATGTTACGAAAAAGGACCTAAAATGTTATGTTTTTTTATAATATTTTTGGTTGCGCCCCATTGCTGCTGTTTTTAGCCTTAAATTTTAGGGTCTGTTTTGTTGGGTGAAGTCACATAAGATGGTAATTTCTATGGAAGGATTGTTTACTTTTGTGATTTCTTGTTTTCCCCCCTCTAATTTTTAGAATCCATAATGTGAATTGAAGTTTGATAGGCTTGAGTCTTGATGTGGAAACTCTTGCTACGTTGGCTTGCTTATTGATTCATTCAATTTGCATTACGAGATGATGATGATGACCTTTGATCACTAAAATCCATTGGATTGTTTATAGGCATGCCCATGTGTATGTCAAACTGTTATTAGTGATCCAAACAGTAGGTCTAACCAAAGTGTCACGTTGGAACTTATAGGTATAGTTCAGTATGTAAATTGGCTTCTTCCCCTTATAAAGGAGAATGGAGAGAATTTAAGCTAAAATGTCACTAGAAAACTAGTGAAGCTCAACAGTCTTCTAATCTACATGGTATAGAGCACTAGGTTCACTGTGTGGGATCATTTGAATTTCAATATCTTTACCGATATGCTACTGTAATTTCTGGTGTCAATTAAAACCCTCATTTTAAAACAAGAAACGTGTAAGGTTTTGTTTATTAAGTGAAAATATAGGGTTCAGTGATTTACCTCATTTCAGCCTTTGTTAAGGTCCTCATGTAAAACTGTTAATAGCATACAAGGTTTTTAGCTATGTTGCTGAAAGTTTTGAACCTTTTCTCGGCACTGACATGGGTTTATCTTTCTACATTTGTAGCTATATCTACATATATTAACAAAGTTTCTCTTACTTATCGAGAATCATCACTTGTAGTCCCAGCAAATGGGATGAATAGATGTCCATTGAAGTTTAATGGGTATATCCCTTGTCATGATATCCCTTATGTGAAGCAATTGGCTCGAAACTTGAATCTTTCCAAAAGTGAAGAGCTAGGGAGACACTGTCCTCCACTTGAAAAGCGTTTATTTTGTTTGGTGCCACCACCAGAAGATTATAAAATTCCCATAAAGTGGCCAGTGAGCAATGTGAATCATACACATCTAGCTGAAGTTAAGGGAGGACAAAACTGGGTGCATGAGAAAAATCAGCTGTGGTGGTTTCCAGGTGGTGGCACTCATTTCAAGCATGGCGCAGCTGAATACATTCAAAGGTATGGAGATTAACATTATTTCATAGATAGTCTACATGATTCTTGCAATTGCTTTGAGATAGGTAGGCTTTGTCTTAAACAAAATTTGATATTACTTCTCAAATTATTTTAACCTATTATAAAAAGTAAAAACTATTTAGCGTAGCATTGGGGAAGTTTTGGATGGACTTCCATCTTGCTGGTCTTCTTCTTTTTATAGTACAATGGCCTGCAAAGTGATTTTCATTTAAAAAGTGGGAAGTCTGGTCGATACTTAAGAAAACATATTCAAAAAATTGTTCTGGTGAAATGGGAAGAAGATATAGATGTGAATTGCAATTGATTTAAAACATATGATGAAATAATTAGATCAATTGTTTCTCCCAACTCTCGGTTCTCAGATTTTGTCTCTGTATATGGGTTTCTAGTAACTAGTTGTTATTCCTTTCTTGTTTTTTTTTTGTTAGATATCACTGATCCTCGGACGGGGGCAGGGTTTGGAAACCTATTATAAAAATAGAAACTATTTAGTGTAGCATTGGGGGTGTTTTGGTTGGACTTCCATCTTACTGGTGATCTTCTTTTTATAGTACAATAGCCTCCAAAGTGATTCTCATTTAAAAAGTGGGAAGTCTTATCAGTACGTAAGAAAACATATTCAAAAAATTGTTCTAGTGAAATGAGAAGAAGATATAGATGTGAATTGCGATGGATTTAAAACATATGGTGAAATAATTAGATGAACAGTTTCTCCCAACTCTCATTTCTCAGATTGTGGCTCTGTATTTGGGTTTCTAGTAACTAGTTGTTGCCCCCTTGTTTCTTTTGTTACATATCAGGGTTTTGAACCTTGGACCTTATCTCTTTGGTAGCAAGTCATTATATCAAGCTTTGGTTGTTTATCCTATTCAGTGTTGATTATGTTGGAAAATCATATATATTTTAGTTATAGGTTCATCAAACATCTCTTCTATATGTTTATGGTGACTTTATCAATGCAAAAAACACTTCAAATATGTCTCTCTTGGGGAAATCTGCAAATACTATGGTTAGTGTCTCTGCTTGTTTCTTTTGCCATACACAACTCTTCTATGCATATATGAACAATCATAAAAAACTCTTGTTTGCAAATCATTTTTGGGAATTGAGGAACATTTGTAGCGTTGGTGTAAAAGTGGGCAGGGGCTATAACAGGTAATACAAGTCTACTCGTAGGGCATAACCTTCCTTGCATTCCATTCCGAGCCTGTTAGAATTACAACATAATTATTACTGATTTATAACCTTAGAGAACTTGCAATGAG